AGAACCGTTATTTATTTTATTTTATTATTGTTCAATTCAAATTTCATTATCATATTGTATCTGCTCCTCTCATGTAACCTCGCGAACTTAACAATCGCTCTTTAAATTCTGCCTTTAAATTTCTGCTTGCATGGTTTAAATTATGACATTATCTCTCTGTTTGCATGATTCAATTATCTCACGCGTTTACTATTATTTCTGTCACATTGCACACATCCGAAGGTTAGGTCTAACTGTTTGGCCGCCGCGCCAATAGTCCGTAAAACTTCACACATTCAATTTCAAATCCTCAAAACTACAAACTACAAACCCTAATTTTCACAAATGCCTCGCCGCAGGCAAAATTACAATTTTACCCTTAGCATTAGGTCAAAGAGCCGCCGCGCTCATTTTAGGGTTTCCCGCCGTGGAATCCCTAATTTAACCCTAATTACAACTTAACATTTCAACGTAGAGATTTGGAGTTTCTACACTCCACGTAAGCGTGTCCTTAAGATGCGTTTATTCCCCTTGAGACCTTGACCACAGTCAAGAAGTTTCTAACCTCCCTATTGAGGGGAACTACGATTACTCTGATTCCACTCCCGTAAGGATACGTAGGCACAAGATGCGATGTCTTGCCGAGTAAACTTAGAATTAACCCCCTTTATTATTTATTATTGCTTATTTATATTTTATTTATCTTTGCTATTTAATTATTTTGCTTATTATGTTGTAATTGTTTCTTGGATGTAAAGTTGTTTAATTATTTAATTATTATTATGGTTAGTAATTAGGGAGTGTAACAACATGTATGTAATATTAAAATAAAATTAGATCATTTTAATATAAGATAATTAAATTAAACATTTCACACACGTAAGTCGATTTTAATCGCCGTCTCACTTCCTAAAGATATCCCTCAAGTTGCCTACGAATAATGGTTAAGTGGGGTGTATAAAGCAAGTCCCTCAAATAGAAAAATCATCAAAGTCCCTTATGGTTGCCTTTACGAATCGAGTCCCTTTCGAAAAATGATGATAGTCCCTCCATTTTGCTTATTACGCCCTACAATGGCCTTCAAAAATCCAATTATCCCTCACATGTCCCTTAACATCCAAAGTAAGGACTACCTACTCCATTATAGTAGGGATAGTCTTACTAAAGGAAAGAATAAAGAATAAGAAAGACCTTAAAACATTAGGGTAGGCTACTCCTAGATACTTGCTCACTTCAAAACTGTTTCACACTTAAACAAATTTTCAACAAGTTTTCAAACAAGTTCTTAACACATCCTTACATGGATTATTTATTAACTATTCTGAAAATTTTCTATTCATACACTACACTTTCAAAACAATTCAAAAGTGAGCTTAAGTACCTAAGAGCCCATGGATAACCATGGATGAAAAGGGTGCTAACACCTTCCCTTTTCATAACCTACCCCCGGACCCAAAATATTCTCTAAGGTCTTTCCTGTTCTTTTATAACCTTTCCTTATGGATAAAATAAAAGTCGGTGGCGACTCTTGCTATCCGCAACATTGTTTAAAGTCAGTTCTCCCACCGTGTTACACCCACGGCGGGACACCTAGGCTAAACAGGGTTTGATCCATTAAAGGGGTAAGGCTATTGACTCGGCGGCCAAAAGGCTGGACCTAATCCTTCGGAAGGATAAAACTGTAAAAAATGTGAAAATATGACAAATCATTATATGGAGGAATAATTAAGGTACAGAAATAAGAAAAGTAATAAAGGCAGAGGGTATAAAGAAACAAAGAAACATTTCTGAAAACATGAAGAATATGAAAATATGTAATGACACTTAGAATGAAGTGAGGGAGGAAAATAGTGTGGGGCTGTGGCCACCACAAGCACATCTCAACCTCGAGCATGCACATGAAATGCCCAAAGAAAGAAAAGTAATAAAAGGTACATAAAATGACACGACAAACATCAAACATCAAGAATTCCTTACGAAAAGGTTTTAAGTTTTTAATATTTTAATTATAAAAAAAAAAAGTTTTAATTTTTTAATATTTTAATTATAAAAAAAAGTTTTAATTTTTTAATAAAAAATATTTAAGTTAAAATTATAAAAAAAATTAAGTTTAAATTATAAAAAAAGTTTTTTTTTTTAGGAAAAGTCTTTTCAGTTTTTTTTAGAACAAAAAAGGCTTTTCATCCAAAAAAGGCTTTTCAGTTTTTTTGGGAAAATGCTTTTCAGTTTTTTTGGAAAAAGGTTTTTGGGAACAAAAAGGTTTTTTTTTTTCTTCTTGGGAACAAAAAAGCTTTTCAGTTTTTTAAAAAAGGTCTTACTAAAAAAAAGGTTTTAATAATAAATAAAAAAAGGGTTTTGATTTTAAAAAAAGGTTTTGATAAAAAAGGGTTTTGATATTAAAATCTACGGATCTAAACACACATGGAGATTAACATGGCAAAATATGCACATAAACATGAAAAAGCAAAAGGTTTAATAATTTAACGGACCTAAACACATTAACATGGCAAAATATGCACATAAACATGAAAAGGCAAAAGGTTTAGTAATTTAACCTACGAAGCGGAGGTTTGCTTCGGTAAATATGAAAAAGGTTTGAATAAGGGAACACTAGAGAGCTTCAATCCTTCTGACGAGTTGTGGGAACGACCGCCTTTCTTCTCTGGGGATCTCCTTTGTTTCTCCCTTTCTCTCTCCTCTTTTCTGAAGAAAACCTTCTGACCCCCTTTTCAACAAGGCAATAATAATTAAATAATAATAAAAAACTATTTTTGTTATTTTTTAATGAAAGATAGAAAAATTTAGAGTAAAAATAATAAAAAACAAAAAGTGACAAAGGTGAGATTCGAACTCTCAGCCTCTCACACTCACAATTCCTTACACATGTCCTCTTGCCAATTGTACCATTTTTACTTTTTAGAAAAAAAATGCCTGCCATATGATATTTACCTGCAAAAAGTCAAACGACTACACAAATTTGTTAGTAATTGATTAAATGCAATAAAAATGCAATGAAATGCGACGACAAATCTTAGGGCAAAATTTGGGGTATTACAACGCCATTTATATGTTGATTTTTATACATTGATTATTATGAATTGTTTTATTCACCTTGCCTGTTTGAATGTTACCTCCACGTGGGTAACGTGCAGATGACCAGGTTTAGTCGTGGGCCCCGTCGAGGATTATTTTTGAAGTCTTTGAGTTGTTAGCCTTTTGGTTAACTTAGAGGGTCTTACTCTGATATGTAACATCGGGTTGGGAACTTTTGAGTTAATTTATATACTGTTGAGTTATTTTTCTTATTTTTCCTGATGAGGAAGACATTGACTTATGCCCTTGAATTCCGCTGTTTTGTGCAATTTGATGTATTTTTAGAAAACCCGTTGTTTACGGAGCCTTGACTTATTTTTGAGGATTTGAGAAATGTACGCCCTTTTGAGGTGACTTTTATTGAGTTTAATATTTTATTCTGATTTATGTGAAAAATGTGTCTTTTAATCATGGGGTAGAAAAGGGTGTTATAGGTTTCGCCACTTGAGAAAACTTGTTAGTGAAGGAAGGTTGAAATTGAGATATTGTTGAAGCGAAGAACAAGTTGCTGATTTGTTGACCAATGGAGTCACAATTGAAGTGTTTAAGAGGTTGAAAATGCACATGGACATGAAAGATCTGGAGCATTTGAAATAAGGTGGTGTGTTAAGAGTTTTTTTTGGTAATTCAAGTGTTGTAACTGATACCACATGTGTGTAACTGATTACATACATGTCAAAACATCAAATAAGTTGAAGAAAAAGTGATTTCAACGTTGGTGTAACCGGTTACACATTCGCAGTAACATGTTACCACAATTGTGATATTTCAAGTTTTTAGCAGCGATAACCGATACAGATTTTATGTAACCGATTACAGATCCGAGAATTTAGTTTTTCAGTTTATTTTATATTCTAACTTGTATCCATTTGTATCTCATTTAAATACCTTGGAGATATTATTATGATTATTAATGAAAATTAACATTTCTCACCCTTAATTTTTCTCTCTCATTTTCTCTCTCTCCACAGTTAATTTTTTTATTATTCATTAATCTTATAATTCTAAGTTCTAACACATTTTAACCTAATTTTGGAAAAAAATATAAAATTAAGCTTTTTAGTTTTAGACATGAAAAATCATTTCAACTTAGAATAAATGTGAAAAAGAACCTGTATAACCAAACAAACGCAACAAAAATGTTATATGAATAATATAACATTTTAAAGTGATGGGATATATTTTAAAGTGAATCAAAGGTTTATAATAAAATATTTCATATATATGAATGTAATTGATATGCACCTTGTAAAATAATTTTACACTTTTATTAAAAATTTATCAATTTGTATATCATATCATCAATTTAAATTTATAATAAAATATAAAGAAAATATAACAATAATTTATTTATAATATAAAATTATTTTGCATTGTTCGATATATATTCTATTTTCTCTTCATATTTAATGGTATTGTGAGGTTTTTATAATATTTATAAAAAGAAGTTGTATTTGAGTTGAGTCATTAAAAAAATCCACATTAAAATTATGTTGGCAAATGTTATTTTATTTAAAAAACACTTATTAAAATACTTTTGAACCTATAAAACCATTTTAAAATTTTGTTAAGCTCAAAGGTTAAATTAACTAATCCTAAAATGAAACAAACTAAATTTAAAATCCATAACTTTTTAAACCCAAAATTAAATAATAAAAAAAATATCATGAATCTTTTTCAATTGAATAGAATGTAAACATCACCCCCTTGGTGTGGCTTATTCTAATTTGATCACAATTTCTTTAACTTGCCTTATGAGTCATTTCCCTCCATTTTTTATGCTCTCAAGCTACTCATTCATCTAACTTTCAAACATCACAATTCACCACTTGCCCTCTCATTTTTTTCTCTCTTTCCACAAACATATAAATACCTTGTAACACAACAATATTTTATATACCTATTCTTGTTTTCTTTCTCTAGAAAACATGACTCTTCCACTACTTTTCTTCACACTATCTCTTCTTTTGGGCCAATCCATTTCTGACCCTGACCCACTTCAAGATTATTGCATTGCAGATAACAAAAACACATTTTTCACAAATGGGCTACCATGCATTGACCCAAAACAAGCCACATCATCTCATTTTGCAACATCTTCACTATCAAAGCCCGGTAACACAACAAACATGTTCGGTTTTAGTGTCACGCCGACAAGCCCAATTAACCTACCTGGGCTCAACACATTGGGCCTTACATTAGTCCGTGTCGATATAGCGGGTAATGGAATCGTACCACCGCATTCTCACCCGCGGGCCTCGGAAGTTACCACGTGTTTAAAAGGGCTTTTACTCGTGGGCTTTGTTGATACGTCGAACCGGGCTTTTACGCAGAATTTAAGCCCGGGTGAGTCGTTTGTTTTTCCGAAAGGACTTGTGCATTTTTTGTATAACCGTGACTCTAAGGAACCAGCAATAGCAATTTCTGGGCTTAATAGCCAAAACCCAGGTGCACAAATTGCTTCAATTGCAACATTTGCTAGTACACCTTTTATTCCTAATGAAATACTTAAGAAGGCTTTTCAAATTAGTGGTCAAGAAGTTGAAATTATTAGGAAGAAACTTGGTGGTTGATTTGGTTTATTGTGAAGGTTATTTTAATTATTTTTATATGAATTAATTTTATTTTTTTCGTATTTAAAAATATAATATTTTTTGTATTTTTAGGTGGGTGCATGATTATGATAGATTTGTATTTTAAAATTTATAAAAGAAAGAGACGTATAAACCGTTGTATTATATTAATACTACATGTTTAATTCAATAATATAATGTAATTAGACTGTTGATCCAACTTTTGTATTGGCTATTATTGTGGAGTGAAGTAATAAGCTTGTTCTCTTTTTACCTTCTTCTTTTGTTCTCTTTCATTTGTTGGATTATTTTTCTTTTTTATAAATATGACATTAGGTACATTTCATTGTTGGAATGATTAAAAAGTCAATGTCTTTTTGGTAATTTTAAAATTCTACCTAACTCAAACCCTGGTGAATTACTATTAGTTTTTTACCACTCCCAACTAACAATGAAAAATAGATTAAAAAAATAAATAAATAAAGTTTAGTCAATATTATATGAGATAAGATTCAAATTTGAATCCTTACAAAATATTTATTATCATTAACTGAAATTTATCAATTATTTAAGCTTAATCACTTGGTTAATTTTATCATTCAATTTCGGTATTCCCTACAATTTAATATCTAAATTGATAATTTAGTATTGCATTTCTGCTCCCAAGTCACTGTTATATTCTCATACCTGATGCAAATAAATTAATATTACAATTAACAAATAGCATCACCTCTTGTATTTTTCCTTGTAGTTTAATTTCGTAAGAAATTACGAAATTTCAATTGAAATAGACATCATAACTGTGCCTCTCATCGAACGAGTCAACTTTTGCAAACATGAAGAACAAACAAGCCATGACCTCATAATCAACACTTGGCAGTTGGCACACATGTCTCTCTATTGACATGCACAACAATGCACAATTTTACCATATTATAACCCTATAATCAATCTTCTAAAAATCAAAACCAAATAATTTATCTAGTTTGAATCTTAAATCGATTTTTATTGTAATTCAGCTTGTCTGGAATTTCATTTTGGTTTGAGTTATTGAAGGCTTTCGACGATAACCTAAAGGTCTTGCTGACTCTATGTTTGATTATTTCTTTAAAGATTGACTTTGAGTATAATACAAATTTAGCATAAGACTTGATTACATGACAAGTATAGAAAAAAATTGTAAGTAAAGGTGCAATTGCAATGATTTAACCAAACTTATAGAACTTTCTATTAAACATGAACCTTGTGGGGTTCTAAAGTAGTTAACAAATGAAAATCACTTGATGAAAAGCTATATGTAGTATATTATATTTCAGTTTCCTCAAGGCAAAGGTAACAACTATTCGTGACTTGGTACCTACCTAACATACCAATTTAACACTTCAAGTGTTGGCAATGTATGGTTCTATATACTTTTCTCTTTTCTATGTTAGACCTAAAATCATAGTAAATCCGTGACCAATTATGAGTCATAACTTGATAAGTGGCAACATGTAATCACAAACAAGCACCTTGTTATCTTTTAGTGTTTTGCCTTTGTTCTTTTAGGTGGAAGGAACACATAAAACAAATTACTAAAACACAACACTAGCGTCATTTATTGTCCATTGGTTAGTGATAAGAAAAGCAACCTAACAAAAGTTGATGGAATGCTATTTAGCTAATGCATTAAAAATGTTTCTGATATTCGACATATATGAAATTTATGTAGTCTGATATCTTGAATATGACAAATTTTAGAATCATGCAACATATATGAAATTTATGTAGTCTGACATCTTGAATATGACAAATTTTAGAATCATGCAGTAATGTCTTATACACCTTAAAAAATAACTCAGTTAATATGTGGTCTTCCTGTTCGGTCTTATGTTTAGACAGTATATTAAAAGTGTGTATGATATTTAAGACATATCGACAACATATTCTTATTGTTCGGTCTTATGTTCTTATGTTTAGACAATATATTGAAAGTGTGTCTTATTGTTCGGTCTTAAGTGTCTTATTGTTCGGTCTTATGTTCAAACAGTATATTGAAAGTGTGTCTGATATTTAGGACGTATCGACGACATAGGACACATCAACAACATATTGCAGGTGTGTTGAATGTTTAGGACGTATAGACAACATATTGCAGGTGTGTTGAATGTTTAGGACGTATAGACAACATATTGCAGGTGTGTCCAATGTTTAGGACGTATTGATAACAAATTGAAGGTGTGTCTGATGTGTCCAATGTTTAGGACGTATTGATATCATATTGAATTGAAGGTGTGTCTGATGTGTCCAATGTTTAGGACGTATTGTCAACAAATTGAAAGTGTGTTTAGGATGTATTGACATCATATTGAATTGAAGGTGTAAGTGATGTTTAGGACACATAAGTACTCCATGGTTCTTAAAAAATGACTGATAACCTTAACTTCGTCCAAAAGATAAATAACTCTAGTTCAAATTTGTCCAAAAGATAAATAACTTGAGCTGGTCCAAACTAATTTGTTCTTGAGTAGAGATCATTAACCATTTGAACTCAATCACTCATATGAACTCAATCAAATTGTGTATAGTTTATCCACTCTAATACATAACACATGTGTTTTCCATTAAATTACTCCATTATCTCAAATAATTTCAAGTGTAATAAGGTATCTCTATGCAATAGATATATAAAAACACAATTAAAGCAAGAAAACAAAAGTTGATGTAAAGGAAACTTAATCAAAACATAAAAACAATGAAAAACAGCTGTCTATCATTCTGCACTTCATTTGGCGCATACAATCAATACTGACCCCATTCAAAAGTACTTATCCCACCCACCAAAATTGCTCCAAATAATGGAACCCTCCATCCCAAAAAGAATTCAAATTTCACATCTAAATCACAAAAATTAAAAATATAAAAAAAAATAAAACCATTCTACATAAAGAATGATGAACAAAATTGAAAAAAAAAAAACAACAAATCTGTACATAACCTAAAAAGAAAAAAAAAAAGAATCACAAATTTCTAAACAACAACAACAATAAACAAAAGTACCAAAAGAATCATACTAAAGGATTTCGCAATTTCGATCTCTTCGTTCATTCAGGTGTTGCGAGGCTGATTGCGATCGTTGCAATATGACGCAAATACGCGAATACACCATAGGTATCGCATCTATCGCACCTTCCAATACCGTTTTTGTTTTGTCGCGTCTGTTTTCGCAGTATCTGACCATGATCACAACAAATCATGAGCATATCCAACCAAAATCGAAGAGGAAAAACTCAAAGGTTGAATCTCTTGATCTTTATAAGTCCTAGGCTTATAAAGATCATAAGGCTCCCAAAGTGAATCCAAAGGACAAGGTTTCTTCTCATCCAGTCTTACCCATGGCTTCCCTTTCCCACTCCAATGCAACAAACTGACAGGACCAGGATGCAAAGATCTACAAACCCCATTCAAATTATCACCCCCAAGTCCATGTTGGTTCCATCTATGATCAATAGCTTCGACATTTCCTGCGAAAACAAGCAAAAACGGTGGCAAAGAACCCAGCTCATAAATCCTCTTCTTCTTCTGCAACTCCATCCAATTCTCAATCCTCTTCCGGTAATTCCCTTCTCTCCATTTCACCATATCCATCACCATCACACCCGTGTTGAAATAACAAGCTTTTCTTGCTCCAAACACACGAGATAACAAAGGGTCAACCCAGAATTCGTCTGTGAAATACTTGGTGAAATTCGCATGGCAATATTCTGGCGCACCGATAACTTTCGACTCACCCATTTTCACACTCCATAGCTTGAAGATATCATCCACAACGACAATATCCGAGTCAAGATAGATAACTCGCTCCACGCACGAGTCAAGCATGTCGCCGAGGTAGTTTCTCGCGTAGTTCAATGGGTTTTCTAAGGCTAAACGAATGGAAGAGGAGATGAGGTTTATGACAGTGTCTTCACGAAAGATGTAAACTTTGAAGTTTAGCGACGGGAAAATGGATCTTACCAGACGAGTCAAGAGACGCGGACTCACTGGGTCGAACTCGGCGGAGATGAAATGGAAGAAAACGTTTTCGGGGCAGGAGGAGTGGCGGAGAACGGAATGAACGGCGGCGATAGAGCCGCGTAGGTAGCCGGAGTCGAGTGTCATTGCGATGTGGACTAGAGACGGGTCGCATGACGGGATGGAGTTTTTGTTGCCGGGGACAGGGCAACCCGCTCCATTGCGATACTCCGGGGCTTCGGAGAAGTGAAAGAGGCTGTTGGTGGTAGTGGTGGCGGTGGAGGCGGTGGTGGTGGGGAAAGAGCGGATCCCGAGGCAGAAGGGTTGGAAGATGCAAGAAAGGAGGAGAGACGAAACGACGACGGTTAAGCGTAGGGGAAGCATTGTTTGAAGAAGAAACAAGAATTTCAAGAGATGGGTGAAAGAAGAGAAAGAGTTTGCATATTTTGAGGGATGGGGTCTCTGGAAGTAGAGTGGGGGTGTAGAAAGGAAGTTCCAGAGAGGAAAGAACAAGAGGCAGCTGGATGAGAGAAATGTATGACACCTACTTATATGAGGTGAGATTCATTTCATTCATCATCACTGTCTCTCTCTAACTATATTTCTTTTATTTTTTTAACTTTATTTGTTTATTTATTTATCTCTTATTAGAAATAATAATAATAATAGGTTTGAATAACATATAGTATATAAATTTTGTGTTTGAATGTGATTTGTCAAATTTTAAAAATGTTTCTATAATCAACTGTTTATTTTTTGTTTTTTAGTGATTAGTACTCCTAACACATTTATTAGCTTGACTGTTATATTTAGAGAGAATTTATTTTTTATATTTATTGATTAAAATTTTAATTTATAAGTATTAATAACTTATTTTTATCACTACATTATAAAAGTTTTTTTTTTATAAAGCATTTTTTTCATTGATTGCAGAAAACAAAAGGACATAGGACCTGTCCGGTTATAACATATCTGCTGAAACCGCTATTAAGCAAGGAATTTTCTTTTTCTTTTTCTTTCCTTTTAATCCTCTTTCAGTCTTTTGTACTTTTCTCTGTTAATCTTTCATTATTTGTACATTAATCTTTTTTATGGAAGGAAAATAAATTTAGCGCGTGCATTCAATTACGTAGTCAAACCGTGTGTGTTACTACTACTTTTATTAGTATAAAAATAAAAATAAAAACAAAAATATTAATTCTTTATTTAAAAATGAATGTCGATAAGCAAGGAATTGTTTGGTTCCAAACACTTTTTTGTGATAAATGCTTTTTGTAATCGAATTGAATTCCAATTCCAGGGTGGAGTGTCAAACATGTATACAAATATTACATACTACAATTAATTTTTTTTAAATAAATTTTCGAATAGATATCTAAACGGCTAGAATTTAAATAATAGTGCAATTATTATAATCGATTTAGCCACATTTAAATCAGATAAAAATTTATTGAACCAACTAAGTTTGAGTTGAATCATCAATTATATAATGATTCAATTTTATTCAACTAGACTATATTGTTTACAAATCAACTTTTACTTAAATAAACCAACAAGTGAGATTTGTGATTTCTTCAAAAAAAATGTTCAATGAATAACGAATGCTCTAAACTTGTATTTTTGAAAAAGAAGAAAAAAAACTAAAAGCAAGTGCCATCAAATTTTAATAAAATAAAACATTTAATTTGAGTTGAGATGTTAGGGAATCGGTTCATCCAGAAGGATTTGAGTTGAGATACTCAAATGTGTTTCACTTAATAAATATTTAAAAGTGTAATAGAAAGAATACTATTAATAATTCATTTTTATAGTAAAGAATTTTTTCAGTTTTTTACTATAAATTGTTTTTTGAAAAAAAAATTATAGTACAATATAAGTTATTTTACATTATTAATAAATATTTAATAATTTTTATATTATATTTTTAAAAAATTATTATTCTCTCTTTTTTTAATGAAAAATAATTTTGAAAAAACATTCATAATTTTTTATTTTTATCTAACAATAATTGATTTTTTAATTATGAAAAATTATGATCCTCGTACTAATGAGAAACAATTTTGAAAAAACATTCATAATATTTTATTTTTATCTAACAATAATTGATTTTTTTAATATGCGTAAAAAAAAGTCTAAAACCACTCTATTTTCTAAATGACATATAATCAAAAACTGAGTGTATAAATAATATATATGCTACATAAATGTCTATCTAAAAACATTACCATACACTCTAATCCAACTCATTGTAGTTAAAGAAAATTATAATCCTACTAAGAGTACATTAACTTCATAAATTAATATAGTTGTAGTTTTCTCTTTTTCTGTCTTAATGGAGAGGTGATTTTAGGGTCAATTTTTGATTCAAAATCACCCTTTTAAATTCTTTTTTTTTCTTTTTATTTAAATAAGTGATTTTACATATAATTTTAGTTTTTTTTTTTGAGATTTCATCGTCTTAATGCAACGTTGTGTTGGTTGTCGTCTTATTTCAGCGTTATTTTGTTTTTCTGTCTTGATGCAGAGTATGTTCGGTTCAAATTGACATATTAGATTCACTCAGTGCATATCTAATCAATAATTTTGACGTCGTCAATACTACAGACTTTGAGACATGAGTATTCTGAGCATTTCAATTTCGTCATATTTGTAGGCATTTTACCGTTATATACTATTAACGTGGGTGTCGTGAGTCAGTTTGTTGATTCATCCTTTTTATTTTATAGCGATTTTGAAATTGTATTATTCAATATATTCTATCAATTTGAATGAATGGATGTCGTTTTTAGTATTAAAAAAACGTTTTGGTGATGATAAAGGAATTCAAAACAATTTTAAAAAATTATCAAGAAAAGAAGAAAGATTGAAGTAAACAAAAAGTGACAAGTTATCTGATTTTTTGCTCAAAGAATCAAATGCTAAAGAACATCATCAAAGAATCATTTCATATGTTAATAGTTCTCTTTGTGATCATGCGCTCAATTGTCTTATCTTTGTAGGGTTTTATATGTAATATTAAATGTATTCCTCTCAAAGTACTAAGGTCTCTCTCTCTCTCTCTCTCTCTCTCTCTCTCTCTCTCTCTCTCTCTCTCTCACACACACACACACACACACAATCTTCTCTTCCATGATTCTTTTGTTTTCAAAACATAACACACAATCTTCTCTTTCATGATTCTTTTGTTTTCAAAACATTTCTAATCATTTTAGATTAGACTCACTACTACGAAAAATATATACAACAATAGTTTGAAAAGGGATAACATCACACGTGACTTGTCGTTGTTACATAGGGTGTGGTTGTATATGCGCTACTTACAATTACGGTCTTATGACCGTTGTAGAAAACGTGAAAGCGCACTATATATGATCACATTTAATAACCAAATCGTTGTCATATATAAATTGTCTCAGGTTCAAATCCCAACGCATTTTTAAATATATAACCATGGTCTTCTATGAAAACTGTGGTTATATGATATATTCTCCACTATACAACCATTGTCATAATGGAAAAAAAATGTCGTTAAATTATATGCATTTTAAAATAAAAAAATTCTGCATTTTAAAATTTTTTCATTTTATAACATGTATTGTTTAAACTGTAACAGAACAGAAACATCAATTTAAGATGCATATTAAAACACTCAATCTCAAATAATTATTTATTTCATCAAATCAAAAATATTATTTACATCACTCAAACTCAAATGTACATTAAATTGTAACATAACAGAAACAACAATGAAGATGTATATTACCAAGACTCAAACTCAAATACTTATTTATTTTATCAAATAAAAAATGCTATTTACAATACTCAAACTCTCATGTTTGAGAATCCTTAATCACGTTGAACATATACATACACCCAACGTTTACAAATCTCTACAAAGTCTTCGCATAGGAATGATGTTTCGTCGTTAAAAGTTTGCATAAAATATACCAGATTAAGCTTATTATTGAGGACTCATAAGCGCATTGTAAACAATTTATTACATATGTAGTATTTACCTTATCCCATTTATCAACAATGTCGACGAAGATAATGTTTAGCATGTGTTTTATTATATAATAACCACACTCGAATTCCTTTGGTTGTTTCATTGTCTACAAAAATAAACATTAATTTCATGAATGTTATAAACATAGATGCATGTAACAATATATATATAAATGAATGTCATAAATAATATAGCAATTTACTTTAAGCAAGATAAATTTTGGTTTTTTCATAACATTGTTCAACATATTGTGTCGCTGCACAACACCGTACATTTGAAAATATTTTACGGGTTAAACCAATTACAAAGTCAAAGAAAATATGTATAAATGAAAATTTCATATAAACATAAACTTACCTAATAATAATTTGCTTAATTTTAAGTTCGAGTGGTTGATGTAATGAACACAATGTCGTAATTGTATTCATCTTAAGTGATATGGTGATCAATTGTTAATGATCACTGAATAAACACGATCATATATATATATATATATATATATATATATATATATATATATATATATATATATATATATATAAAATTAGTATTTTCTAAAACAAAACTAACTATAAAAGATAAACCACAATTTCAAAGTTACTTACGCATTGAGAAATGGTGCAAAGTAACATTCTTTTCCCCCTTGACCTAACCGTCCCGAAATGCAGGTTTCAATATCTTTTGTCTCATTATTTGTCCATTGAATACTATACAAATCCAAGATGCCATAAATATTGAACTTATTTAACTCTATACATACATGATGAATGTACTTAAATGGTTAAACAAAATTCAAAAAATAAGTAAAGGAAATACAATAATGATAATGTACTATAATGACATGCATATTCAAGTATACACTTACGTGCACCAAAGTTGCAATATCCCTACGTCCAGCCAAGTATCACCATAGAGAAAATCTCGAATGTCACTAGGATAAACATAATAGAACTCTATCGATGAACAATGCTCTAGAGAAAGAGGATACGGATCATCACGTTCCGCAACCAAAACATATAATGTGGCAATTTGATTTGTGAAAGGATCCAATAACTCATTAACCTCTTTAGCGGGGGTGGTTGAACAATTTCTTTCTTTGGTGCTAGCATGACGTATGCCATGTGTTTGGGGAACTTTATCATCAGCATTATTAGTATCATTTTCATCTGTGTGTTGTGGTAAACATCCACTTATTCTCTGCGATGATATATCAATACATAATAAACACACTTCTATCTTTTCTAATTTTTCAGATTAAACACAATATATTATGTCGTGGTTCTAGAACAAATGAGCCTCCACGGGCCTCCTCAACCAACACATCCTACACAACATGCATGATAATATTAATATTGTAATTACCACATCATTTAAATAA